GCTCCTAGTTTATTTTTATACTTACCTTGGTGGCACTAAAAATACAGAAAAAAGGCAAAACCATGCCTAATATATATTTTAATGAATAAAATGCAGCCTACATTAATAATTTATAATTGAGAAATAATTATGATTTCATGCAATGTTTTCTTTATTAAAAAGTGTCGACTGGTAAAGAATAATATTGTTATTTTAAAGACATAATGGCAGCATGATTGATTAACAGCAAAAAGGTTTCCGAGTAAAATGTCAGTAGTCAAAGAAAAAAAGTCATTAAATTGTTATTGACGAAAAAAAAAATAGTAATCCATCCAATTTAGTACTGTGAAAAAAAAATAAATAAAATTGATTTTTTATTTTTTACAGATAAATAGATGAAAATATTAAAATTAGAAAACTAGCTACCTGAGAAGATAGAAAAATTATTATTTTTTGAGCCTGACATGCAGTACTTAAGTTTTAATTGAAAATGTGACATTTTCTTTGTATTTAGAAGTAAAGTCATGCTTATTGTGGTTTAAAATTGTAAGTACAAATCGGCTGGACTACAGTATTAAAACACACACAAACTCTTGAACCCATCGCAGAGCAATGTACGAATATTGGCGTGGAAACGAAATTACAAAATGTGTATGAAAATAAATGTATGCATTTTGCATTTGTTTATATGAACATTTTTTTTATTTAATGAGCAGTATTTTTGTGGACGAGCAAATGTGACTTTATGTGCCTATTTTTTCATCTAAAGCATTTTGAGAAGACTAGCTATGGATTTTACATGTAAAACAGTTTGACCGACTGTGTTTCCAATAAAATACCTGGAAAACAACAATCTAACTTCCACCACCACTCATTAGATCTACGCGGGACACAATGTATTTTCTATTGTGTTAAATTATACCGGCACTCAAGAAGTTAAAACAGAAATATCTTCAGCATTTTTTAGTTTTACTGTTGATATGAAAAAAATAAATCAGTTCTAACTTAGACAATTAGACATTTTGTTATCCACACCAATATCACAAAAACATAGCTCCCGAAATCACCAAAATTTGAGAAAAAACAAAAAAAAAACTGGAAAAACATAAGTTTTGGTGTTTGCCTCGCGGCCTACCTCCGTTGGATGTCCAGAGAGGAAAAAATACGCGGTTTGGCGCGCCCCGTGGACTCGCCCAATACCGACAGTCTGCGATAATACTTACCGTTTATTATATGTCATTTTTATTTTTACCATTTTATTATGAAAAATCCCTAAGATATCTATTTAGTCATATTAAAATAGATTTTTCTCTATGATAATTTTTATAATATATCTAAAAAAAGTTGCTATCGTTATAAAGTCTAACATAAATAGAAAAAATATAATTTAGCGTCATGACGGAATGTTAAACGATTATTTTCTAAAAAGGCTCAGACACAGGGAGTTTGTAAATATGTCGTAGGTATAAAATAAAACGAATATTGTTATTAAAAACTTGATTATTTGGAGAAGCATAACACATCCATTTATTGCGTATTGTCAAAACAAAAAATAGGAATCCACTTCAATACATGTGTACAATTACATAGGTCAACTTAATTCACATAATTAAAGTCTTTAGTGTTTGTATAATTCAAAAACATTCTTTATTGATATAAACTTTTAACTAATTTCTTTCTATACTATAGTAGGAAATATTTTTGAATTTTACTAAACCCCAAATACTATAAGATCACATTACTTAAATGCATCTTAAATTAATGCCCATGATTTGGAACACTATGTATTACGATACCAATTAAATATAATTTTATTTCAATTTAAATGTACTGGGAAAATGCAGCGAAAACATAAAAGCATGGACGGCTGATAAAATATTAATATACATATTATATACTTAAACAAACGCCCCCCATAGGGGATGAGCAAAGCTCGTAAGATAAAAAATAGTTTTATAAAGTACCTACTAGGTACAGTCGTAAAAATAAATAAACTAGAGTTACTTTCTATGCGTTATTTATCATAATTTGTTATGATTTTCCCAGTGCATTCAAACTTGTGACATTTCCTCGTCTGAAACGCAAAAATAGGATGAAAAATAGACAAAAAAAATCTCGGCTGTAATGTATTAAAATTAAATATCTAACTACGCTTAGCGAACTAAGTTAGAATGTATTGCATTGTTCCTACTTCGTGTAACAGTTACAGAATAATCATTAGCTTAAAGATAAAATAAAAAAAACATGTTCACAGAAATAAAACTGCACTATTCGTGTGCGTAAAAATTATAAATTGATATATAATGTACATATATTATTCAGATGTATCCAATAATATATCTATTCGTCTATATATTAAATTAAATGTCAAAATATACTACATGTCGTACTCAAAAATATTATTAGAGTGCTATTGTTTGTAATGTAATGTTATTTTAAGAATATGTGTATGAAAATATTGAGGGATAATACATTTGAGTATTACATTTCGATCCAGGACTTCGATATTCCTATTATTTTTCTTTTATTAATAATAAAGAGTAATAAAATACAAGTATCTTTTTACACGGGTTTATTCCTTACAAGAGCACCTAAGTTTTGACATAATTTGTTCAGTATTCTATCTAACTTCCAAAATACTGGGTCGACGATGTACCAGACTACTACAATTGTACATTTCTTCAACCCTATAAGTAAGAAAACATTTACTCTTCTCAATTTAGAAAGACAGCAACACTTTTATTATGAAAAACGTGTAGCATTATAAAATTTTGTTATATAATATAAAAGTGTAAGGGCGTCTTGGTAAATAGCCAATATTTTAAATATATTTTTGTACTAATCGGCCCTTAAATGTGATATGAGAATGTGTGTATGTATATTGCAGCGGCCAATGAATGCCGAATAACGCTTCACAACTATATAGAACGCTTATATACAGTGTAAAGCATCGTAATCAAGTACCCCATTTTAAATGAAAAAATAAAATAATAGAAAAGTTAATATATATAATTAGAATACGCTTATAATTACCACATATAATGGACTTCTCATGAAATATAGAAAAGTTTACTTTAGAAAAATGTTCAAACGCCAACACTCGCACTCATCATGTTATTTTATAATATTTACAAAATATATTTAAACATCCTATAGTATGAACGAATAATGAGTCAAAAGTATGGGAATATTTATGAGAAATGTTTAAAAACTGTTAATTTTTAGTCAAAATATTTTAGTATTGGACTTTTAGGTGCAGTAACAATATTGTGTTTTTCAGTACAAGGTGTATCTAAGAGTGATATTTTAAGTAAAATGTGTTAATCATTGTAACTATGTTTCAAAGTTTTTTCGACTATAAATTCTTATTTATTGGAATGACCGACGTCAGAAGTCATAATAATTGAATGAAAAATAAAAAAACGACAAGTCTCCTAAATGTAGACATTTTATAAAGATTACAAACCTAATTACAAGTTTGAAATCGCCAACCCGCATTGAGCAAGCGTGGTGATTAATGCTCAAACCTTCTCCGTGTGAGAAGAGGGTTTGCTCAGCAGTGGGGATTGTAGGCTGTTGCTTTTAAATGCAATCTTGATATTACACCTTGTACAAAAAGTAACTTAAAATTTCTTCAGATAAATTCGCTACTTCTAAACGGTAAGAAGTAAAGGACAAAACCCTTACATTCCAGTTTTAAAATAATTATCTTTTTAATTAAAAATATAGCTGCCTAAACGTGAAAGATCGTTGTGGTAACATCTACTGAATGTTTGTACCGAAGTCTGTATCCTGTATCTTATCCGCTAAAAAATACTATTTTTATGAATTAATATATATATTATACACAAAGTATTATATAATAATATATCGATCTCACTCACTCACGCCTTAAATATAATCATAATTGCGTTGTGGACCATTGTTTTATTTTAATTTTGAAAATATAGGTACAGAGTAATAGGTACTTTGTAGTTTTTGATATAATTTTGTTTCGATATAGCATTTACTTGTGTTTATTGCTCTTATAAAAAAATATTATTATTATAATCGTTTCTATATGCACATTATTCAACCGAGAAGCTTTTAAAACAGTTAATTTGCGAAAGAAAGGCGATCCAAAGGTTTTAACCTCTTTGTTTGTATGTATTAGCTAATTTAGTGTAGTTTCAATGTATCGTATTAACCAATTAATAGATGGAATTCTTTATAAACCTTTTTTTCATACTCCCTCTACATATTCACTCTGTCAAAAGTTTCTCCGTTTCCATGAAACATTTGTCAATCAATAATAAATTGCATGGTCCACATAGAAACCCAACAATGAGATTTTCACTACAGAAATATTTATCTATACATTTAACATAATAATATATGAAATACAAATATACAAAAAATATTGTATCAGTCAATGAAATATTTAACGATCTACACAATTCAGAATTTAGAGTAAATAAAAAAAAACAAACAAGATTTGTGCTTTTTTGTGAACTTAAATATAAAAAAGAAGCGAAAAAAAAAACGAAATACATATATGGAACCCTGGAATGTTAAAAATTCGCTCGAAAATAGAAATCTATAATTCTTATGACCTAGTGATGAAATGCATACCGCGACGGGACTAGTAATCCGCTACACATTATTTTAAGAAAATATATATTGTATAGAGTATACAAGGTGTTGTTTTAAAGCCGCGTCATTTTCTAGGAGGTAACTCGACTATCGATTCTGAGTCCAAATCAATAAAAAAATTGGTAGGTAATTTTTTTCATTTTTCTCCAAATTACGCAAATCCGTAAGTGTGAACTACACGCCGCCGTCTTGTAACGAGCTTTATAACGCGGTATAACACACACAAACTCAAAAACGTAATTAATATTATTCCTAATTCCATAAAACTCCAATAAGAAGCATTGCTGTTGCTTTTTCTGAAATACTGTCCAACTTAAACGATTTATTTTAGCCGTATTTTTAATTATTGTCCCGAAATTTTCTCTTACATTGAACCTTTATGACTTCTGTGACATGCCCCCGAGAAATCACACGGCTTCAAAACTACACCTTGTGTAGGCGTTGGCAGTATATAATGTATATAAAGGTAACCTTAACGACTTTATACGTAGTGTCCTACCAACCGCTTAGTTATATTATTCTAAACTGTCGAGACATACCTATAGAGGTGCAGTGTTGTTAATATGCATGCTACATTTTGTTTTGTAATAGCATCGCGTTTCTGGAAATAAGTAGGAATTACTTACAAAGTCGACTCTAGCCATCTCTTACTTTAGTTCTATTTACATTATTTCACTACCAACATCTGAATTTTTAGCACATAACTAAACACATCAATAAACAAAAATTAAACAGAATTTTAGTACCTATTTTTTTAGACTTAAAAATTATTATAATTCAGAATAATTTCAATAAAATAACGTGTAGACAGAAGTCGTCGCGATTATAATCTTTTCCATAATGACGAAATAATAAATGATTACAAATCTTTTCATTTTTTTAATTTTATATGTAAACTATTAACTTTGAAACATCACGGTTACGCCAATTATATAAAAAAATTATTAACACTTACAAACAACATCTTGTTTTAATTATATTCAGTGCATTAATAATTATTTTGTATTGAGTATCTATTCAAACAGTCTTCAGTAGTTTAGGTTTGGAATTTACTGGAAAACAAGATGGCTGACGATAATGTTTCGCAGAAACAGCTCTTGAAATGAGCAAGGACAGTTCAGGTAATGAGAGCACTTTATAGCTAGACAAATGCAATTAAGTTTGTCTAGCCTTTGTGTTCTTCTGATAAAAAAAAGATGATAAGATATTTTTTGGTTACATCTCATTCTTCTACAAGTTGTCTTTTAAAGCTTGTGTAATATGCAATATAAAGTAGTTGTATAATACAGAAACCGCCATTGTATTCTCCAATAAATTCAAAACAATAATAATACGAACTTATTTCACAATGACCGATTACGTTGCAATTATGTTACTTCAACAAACACATATTTTGATAATTTTCTTATGGAAAATGCTTCGAATTATCGATTGTTAACTAAACGAAGACGTTAATAAGACATTGTGAAATAGGCCCTCAATATCAAGAAAATATTTTCTACAATATAGAGAAAAAAGAAGAAAAAAACCAAGTCACATTCAATACTCAAAGTATTAATTAAGATCAAGTATTAAAAGATACATTTTGTTAGTAATTATTATTAATACACTGAATAATTATACTAGCTCTATGGGCCAACGACCGGCTGATAGAGCAATCGGTACTGTATACAATTCCCTATAATTTATTTATAATAATTAATATTATTTTAAATCTTCCCAGCACGTCCACTCCCGCCGACGTTTCAAGGATTCTGATTCAACCTGCGTACAACGGAACGGGTAAGCGAATCGACCAATAGCGTGTCGAATCACCCCCCTCTTCCTGATCCGGCTCACTTTTATTGGCACATTTTATTTTTTAAACTGCCACTCGTTAGGATTGCCATGTCAGTTCAAACAATGTTGCAATGTTGACACATCCAAAAAATTTTTTTCGCAAAATCCTTTTTTATTAGGAAGTTTCAAAAACACACAATAAATGTTTGTATACACAAAAATAATGGCAATCCTATAAATGAATAAATTCTCGCGCCGCAACACAAGATGCACAATACTGAACGTAACTCCCTCCGTTAAAAAAAAGATTATCAGAAAAAAAAACAAAAAAAAAAAATCGTATAAAATTCCGTCACGTCGCAATCAAAGGGTTGTGGAATAGACTAGAAAAGCGAAAAAACCGTAAAAACCGGTAGAGGTCGCGACCGTCGACGTTCGTTAGTAGAAGCGTACGGTTAGGTAAAAAAAAATAAACGTCAAACGGGGGATGCACGAGAGATGTCATCTACATTATTTATTATTCTTTTTTTTTAATATCTTTTCCGTACACCTCTCTCAATGTCGACGAGGCACAAACCGTATACTTACTTAAAGTATTTTTTAATTTTTTCTATCGACAAAGCACTACTGACAACACTCAAAGCATGTAGGCATGTCTGTAGCCTTAGCACACACTTTTGTTTAGCAAAAAAATAAAAAAAAAACTAAAGAAAAAAAGGGGAGTACATCATGCTTTGGTCTAAGAACTACTTGGTAAAAGGGGGAGGGGGGACTTGAGCGCGTTGACCGGTACTGAGTGCGAATTGAGACGAACGGGAGGTAGGTAGCATCGTGCATCCCCTGCGTTGACGCGAGTATCAAAAATAAAAAATAAAAAAGAGCTCGGAATCTTTAGAGGGAGACAATTTCATCTTAAGAAATAATAATAATAATAAAATAAAAAATGATAAATAAACACATATAATGATTCACACAGACGAGACATTACGAATGGGTTAATAGTGACAAGTTAGAAACAGTGTGCCTATGGTGTATTATAGAATTATTTACAACAACATAATTTATTAAATAATAAAAAGACGTAGAACGTGAACGGATACCTTGGAGCTAGTCTGATTGTGTTTTGTTTAATTTAATTGTTAATGAAAGCGGTAGAAAAATTAAAAACAGTAAAAATGTTATTTTAAAAAATAACTAAAATGACAAATAATCATTTAACATCATCTCGAAGAGACTAAACGAAAAAAAAAATGTTTTTCTGAAAACAAATTTCACAATAAAACATAATCAAACGTGGCTCCAAAATCACTATTCAATAATAAATAGTTCTTTGAATAAGAAAACAATTTGTTAAACACGAGTCTTTACTCCACAACCCTTTTTTTACAAAAAAAATCTAAAAAAAATAGTCCCTTGTTGGGCGCCAACATCTAAGATCACTATTTTAATATACTATTATGGTATAGAGCTATAATTATATGAGATAATGAAATGTGGGGGGTGAATAAACAGGTGTGCGTGAAAGCTATCGCTAACATCGATGCTTAGCAGGTGACATGAGGCAGCGAGTTTATAAGACAAATTTTGTGTCATTTTCCAAAAAATCCTTTCATTTTTTCCCTTTAACCACCCAAATTCGTCATAAACTATCATATAATAGCAAGATATACTAAAATTGACTCTATTTTTTGAAGTCGTGTCGAAACATGACGAATCAACTCATTTAAAATGACACAAACATGCCTTTAGAAAACTCCCAAGTCTACTAGCGGGCTAGCATCAAGCTGTAGCTCATGGGGACTGTATATAACGATAACGAAAAGTAATATAACATGTTACACCACCGATACAGTATGTTATGTTATGTTAGTTACAAGATGGAGTAGTGTGTGTGTGATGTGATTGGTTGTTAACATGGGCCCGTGTTTTTAAAATGGGTGTGGACTATCAAATGGCTGCTGTAACGAGGTATGGTAGATTTAGTTGTATTTTAAAATTGTCTTGCGTACAAAAATATTAGAATTGAATAGATTTGGCAATGTTGGAATCACATTGCTGTATGTATGTTTTTTAATATGTTATTTGACAAAATACTACAATCGTAAGCAATATTGTTGACGATAACGTCGAGAAGATAAACAAATATATCGAATTATCGACGGTTGAAAGGCTAATTGATCGAAGCGACATTTATTTGTGATATTGTTAAATACTTACATCACAAAGAAGGAAAATTCGCTGATTTCGAACATGAATTTATTTAACTGAATATCACAAAAATGTCGCTTAGATCAATTTTATTAGCCTTTCAACCGTCGATAAATCGATACGTTGGTTTATCTTTCACGTTAATATGAAGAATAAATGATAACTTTCGTCTTATTTTGTTCTAACGTTTTTAGATAATCCTTTGTGAGAATAGGGTAGATGACTAATTTTTATTTTAATGTCTGTCTGGTAGATTATTTTAAATCATTAGACATGTATTTTTTATTTTCTTACAGAAACGAATACTTTCGACGATATATTGATTTGAAATGTCGCGTGACGTCACTTTTATGTACATTTTATACGTAGAAATGACGTTTTAGCCCCCACTCCTAAGTATTGTTTTATTATACTACAAAAAAATACGTGTCTAATATTTTTTCATTATCTAACTGACGGTCTAATTAGATTTTCAATTTTCATACCCTGTCATCATCCCAATTGAGAGGGAATGATCACGTGACTAAACGTTTATTCTTTCAAGTAGGTAATTTGAAGCTACAAGTCGGCATCAATCGTTACAGCAGCCACGTGTAGTGGTCCCGTCCCCCGGTGGAGTGAGTGCGAGACTGACCGTTTGGAGAACCGTGAGGACAGCTTGGAGAAGAAAGATGGCCGCGCCTGGTGCGGGGAGCCACCGTCACCGTACGCGCCGCCGCTTGAACCGCGCGTGCGGTTCTGACCTGGAGGGAAAAATAATATTTGTATTTTTTTTCAGGAGCTACAACGTTTATGACCCGCCTGAAGATAAACGATGCGCTGTAGTTTAACTACAACATGCAAAAACGAATAGTTTTTCTTTACATTTCTTTAAAAGACCTGTAAGCTACTTGTATACTGGCCTGCTATGCCAGTTAGGTCGTTTTTTAATTCAATATAACAAATATGTTGTTTTTTATCATTGTGCTACCGTTTCCAGAGAGAATTCCCCAAAAATTATGACGCAATCAAACAGTGCGTTGCTGATCATTGTATGTTTGTTCATTTCCTTACCTGAGTGGAAGGTGGACCGCGAGGGAACATTCCTGGGGAACACGAGGGGGTTGGGGAACTCCCTCCGCGCGCCCGTCGCACCACCGCCAGTCGACACTTGCGAGTTCAGGCTGAAATAAAAAACAAGTATAAAATTAAAAAAAAAAATAACGAAAATACACTAAAGAAATTCACGGACTACCTCTACTATTGTGTTTTAAAAAACAAACAAAAATACAGTGCAATTTACGTAAAACATAGGGATATATAAAAATAACAGTATAGATAATAAAAACAAAGAAAAAGTTTTTAACATACACATATACATTATACTATAAATAATTATACGTATTAATAAAAATAATATTATAACAAACTACCACTACCGCTAACATTAAAAACATACTGTATAGTCATTAAGGTATTAATGAACACAAAAATATAAAAAATAACCCATAAATATATAGGAAAAAAATAGTTAACAGTGCGAAAAAAACAAAAAAAAAGGTGAATACTCCAACCAGCAAAATAGCCTTTAGATTAGTGCTGCGTTTAAGCTGATTAAAGCAAAGAAAAAAAAACAAAAAAAAATATATAACGACAAAATCGATTTTTTAAAAAAAGCGTCGTGTACAACCAAATCTCGCCATTTGTAAACTGCAAAGCGAAATCTGCGATCATGTGAAAAACGCGGATACTGCGATTTCTTCTCTCAAGGAAAAAAAAACTAACGAGTAAAACACCAAAAAAAAGAATATTCGTTGGAAATTAAACAAAAACTACTAGATTTACTAGCTGCAAGCCGAACCAAACAAAACCCAACTGGAGAACCGAAGCTTGATACCCGTAATGATCCTTCAAAGCTGTGTGCCCGGTATTACATTTGTAAGAAACGTAATATTATTATGTCATGTCAAAAACCACTAGTCTTTGTAGAGTTAAAATTATTTTTTCCACTTTACCTAATTTCGTGAGACATACTAAATAAATTATTATGTTTTCGGCTTGAGTCTCTAGCACGGCTTGAAACTAGTCGAGTTCCTTGTCAAATAATTACGTGAGTAAGCCGAAAACATAATAATTTATTTAATACTCCTACTCTTTAGTTGAGAGTTTTGCCTTTATAAATCACAGTAAGATAAGTTCAGTTAAATTGCCCTGATATCGATGAAAAAAATATTCAAAACTCCTGCCTAAAATGGTCCCTATCGATATTGTCTGTTGGTCTCATATTCATAGTAATAATGTCGACGGGACAATCTTGATAATAATTACGAGTCTCGATAACAATGACTAGTCTTATAGCTTAGTTTACTATGCAACTGATGAAATAGTATATATAAAACTGTTTCATGATATAATGCCGGGCACACATAGTCGTAGGACATGACAGGGTAGTGAACCAGCGAGAAGCTATGCGGCGGCGGGTTGTACCTCGGGCGCGGCTGCGCGAGGTCCCTTGCGGACGCGTTGTGGGGCTGAGCGTCAGCCCCGAGGGGCGGAGCACCACTGGCGGACGATATCGACGCACTTTTCACATGGGTCTTCGCCCCGGCCGTAGTGCCCGTGGTAGAAGTCGCCCCGTTGGTAGCACTCCCCGTGCCGTTTTTAGTCTCGGCCGCCGGGGCACTGTTTTATGTGTCGGTCAAGCATGCTGTTAGTCCCTTCTCATGCGCGTATACATATATATCGGATATATACAAGGATACATACATAATTATATATAAAATGTTACATAACATATGATTTTACTTTACTTTTGATGACTTTAAAGGGGAAATTCACAGAAAAATACAGAATCTTATATGAGATATGTTTTAAGACAGTTAACCACATTTAGAGACAGGACAAACATATTGACGAATACTTTATTATCACAGTATAAAATGTACACAGTCGAGTAATTCATAAAATGTATAATTTTGGACTCTCACACCAAGGATTAAGGTACAAACGGTGTTGGAGGAGATATGGACTATATAATTCTAGGATTAGTGATGAAGGGATTTATAAAGACAGTGAAGGAGAAGCAGGAAAGAAAGGAAGGTGTGCAGTGACCCTTTTAAGGTCTTGATCAACGACGCAACGAGTTTGTTCTACCTAGATGGCGCCACTTTCGAATTAAGGTCCAATACTCCCAATAACATAAGTCGCAACCAATGTAACACTTATTGAAAGTAAAACAAGTGTGTAGTAGGTAGTAGGTATACCTCACTTTGTTTCTAGCCCGTCATTGAATTTTGTGTATCGTTATGTAAAAATCATGTAGTTTGTGATTAAAAGTGTAGCTGACCTAAGTAATAGTCAATGATTACACAGTTTTGTAACTTTATTATAGTTTTAACAATTTTTTTTGTAGTAAATGAGTCTCACTTCTATATCTCCCCAATGCGCAATATGTTTTTTCCATATGGAATGACTAGTACCTGGCTATTTTAGACATTATTTTATGTAAGACGCTTACATAAATGTCTCAACTGCCATCTCTTCTCCCGTAAGTATAAAAATGTTATAACAAGTAGAATTACCTGGGCGCGTCATGTGGCGGCGACAGTTTGGGGGGCTGCGGCGGCGGCGCGTCGTAGGCCTGCGCCCGGCGCGCGCCGCCCGTCAGCGTGCGCGACCGGGGCTCCAGCTTCGGGGCCGCGCTGCTGGGCCGCGTCGTGCTCGCCACCTGCACGGGACCATGGCGACGTTACTCGATGTTCACGTGATGGTTCATGTGTGTGCTATGTACTTATTTTATAGATAACATTTACATTAGGTAATCTAGTTTAAACTGTCAAATACCAAGCGGTCACCGGTGACCGCAACCTATTGTTCTATAATTGTGTCTACAAAACCGGTACTCGACGAGGTATCTTAGCGAAAATGTATAATTGGGTAGTTAGCAACTAGTCAAATTCAATACTTTTTTCGATCTGTCAAAAACTACAGTTTCCTATGATTTTTTTACGAGATTGTGTATTGTGACATTACGTTTTTTTAGCGTCAAACAGCGTACTTATATCTGAAAAATTTGCTGGCAATATAATATTAAGTTGGTCATAAGATCAAATAATGAAAATATGATTATTTTTTAATATTTTATTGTATTGAACAGTCGAAATAATTTATTTTTGATAAAGGAAAGTACCCAATTACATCGATCGCAAGACATTCGCTATGCTATAATGAGTTGTTATTATTCATCTCATCTATCGGTGCGCACTGTACGTATCAATACAACTAAACAGTTACTTTTTGAGTAAAAACTAAACGTAGAATATCTATTTTACACAAAACACAAAATGTTAACTACAATGTTAATAATATTTACTCTTATTTTGTTACATTACCGGAAATACAAATATTACATACAACTAAAAACTGCACTACAAATGTCGACTTTGAAAGTTTTCTATAAGTAGCTCACTAAGTTGTACTGGGTTGTAAGTAATATGTAGATCATGTGTTGCTGTACCTTTCGTACCTGCATTTGAGCGATCCGCGCCGTGTTCTCCTTGATCGATGCAGAGTCAATTGTATTCTGAAATTATTAATACAAATTTATGAAATATAAACCATTTAATTCTTTGACTGCCTCGCTGGCCGAGTGGTCGCAAATGCGACTGCCGGGCAAGGGGTCTCGAGTTCGATTCCCGGGTAGGGCGAAGTATTACTGGGTTTTAATATTCTCAGTAGTAGCACGGAGTCTGGAATTGTGCCCGGTTTATGGCAATAGGCTCACCCCCAATCACATGGGACTCATAACATAAATAGTGAAATGTGGGGGTTACATTGTACAGTGGCATAATGTACACCTCTGCCTACTCCTTCGGGGATAAAAAGCGTGATGTTATGTTATGTTATTAATTCTTTGATTGCTTATTTCCTCTTTGGCAGTTAAACGTTATAAATTCAGAAAGACCATTTTATATTCCACCATTCCACTAAGGCGATGAATTTATGAACAAAACTTGACGCAACTCTGGGTAGAAATCAACAAGCCAAATAATTCAGTATACGTGAAACTCGCATAAAGAGTTATTCCTGACAACCAATTAAATATTTGAAATATTAGATTCTTTTTTCTTCCTTTGGCAACCGAGTCTCCAATACGATGTTGTCGACTATACTGCCAGTGTCAAATATTACAGATTAATTATACACTTGACAATTATTATTGACGATTGATTGATTAATGACAGATTAAATAAACATATGGGAATCTAACTCGCATTGAGTGAGCGTGATTAATGCCCAAACCTCCTGCGCGTGAGAAGAGGCCTGTAGGGGTTATAGTGTATAACCACACAAACACATATGTAAGCGTTAGTAGTAAGTGTAACCTGTAAACCTATATTTATGTATGCGCAGTAGCGGGACGTGTGTCACTCGTTGCTCGATCCTTATGGTGAATACACTACGTGAGTTTAATAGTACAAGTTTATTTTACCATCAGTCCTTACACTACACACAGTCATAACCTAAAGGCCTTTGCTCAGTAGTGGGTCTTTATAGGCTGTTGATGTTGATATGGTATGAGTAAGAGTATGTCGGTCTGACCCTTGTGAAACTGTAGATCCATCTAAAATGTAGATTCCTCTAAAAGAAGGAGCCAATAACTCCATGGTCACTTTTTTACTAGTATGCAAATAGTAAATTCTTACCTGTCTTTTAAAATTGGACGTTGTCGTGGTAGCCGTTGATGTGGTGTTGTTCGCTGCCGTCGTCGTCGTACCCACTGGAATACAAGCGTTATAATATTTCAGACAAACACATTACAATACAGCATTATATTAATGAAATGATACAATGTCACCTTATAACAACAACGACATCTATCGAACGAAATGGTGAAGGTTTGTGCAATTGTCATTTTGTAATTTACAAATCGTGATTTTTTTTTAAATTTCACCCATTTGACATGCAATTTGAATTTGGTTGTATAATATTTACTCTTGATACATATATTTAAGGACCAAATTGATATATAAACTTAAACAATGGCATAAATGAACAAAAGTAAATAGAACTATAAGAAGTGTTTCATGTTCCAGTAAAAAAGTAATATTTCAAGAGTAAACATACCTATAATATTCTGCCTGAATTTCAATAAAACAACAATAATAAATATGTACCAAATTATGATTTTGTTAGCTTTTGAATTTTGAAAGCGAATACTTATGTTATTTGATTACTTAGCAATAAAAATGCCCAATCACCGATATTTATTGGCATTATCATGAAAAACATTGCCAAGACGAAAAAACTAAACAAAAATCTCAGAATTAAGAAGAATCTATTGGCAATATTTTTCATGATACATTTTTTGTTGTGAGTGAGAAAAATGTCTGAAAATTAGTTACGATAATTTCACGCTCAACATAAGCGACATCGATTAAACTAAGTTCACAGTACTTTTTCAACGTTACAATATTATCTTAAATACGTATGAAATCAAATGTAGGTAAGGTATCATTGTTAACTATAAAATGTTTTTTTTTTTGTCGATGCTTGTGTTACGTATCGGTGCCGACACATGTACCTACCCCGTGATCAACGCCGTGCCACGAGGAGCATATCTGCTGAATCAGGACGTTAGACCTACTTTGATGCAACGAAGTATTGCAACACCTAAACTGCTGAGTCGTCACCTCATGTCACCGCCTCGTGCCCAGCTGCGAATCGCTGCATCAGCAATCACCCCACTAAATTTAACCTCAATAGGTTTTATTGAAAACCTTCTTTCCAAATAATTTTAAGAGAAGAAGTCAGTGTTGTTCCAACATCGAACACATTCGCACTTAGGTTAGTTAGATTTTAGGAATTAACATGTAATTTTAATTATAATAAATTTAGTAAAATGATCATAGTTTCCATTTGCACCCTCTGTCGCTGGCAGAAACATAACTCTTGTGTAAATAATGTTGTACTAATAATGTTTGTCAATTAATAGCTCTAATCATAATGTAATGATAATAATATGTCCTTTAAGTTGACCTATGTATACTACTTGGTACCTTTGACATCAAGCTATATCAATTGTGTATATAAAATTAATTTGTCTCGCCTGTATAATGCCTTCAAAGTAACGTTGAAAAAGCGACTGTAGAACATAACTACTTACTGATATTGTATTTCTTGTTTTGTTTTTTGTATCAAACTACTTGGAGTAATGTGTTGAAGTAATGTATGCGTTTATATCGACACTATTGTGTTGTCTGAGGCCTGTGTGTAAGAGTTAGGTAGGTCTGTAGTGTGAGTGGTACCTTGCGTGCGCAGCCCCTCGGCGCCGGAGGAGGCGCGGCGCGAGGCGGCGGGGCGCGCGGACGCGGAGATACTGCGCTGCACGCCGCGGTGCGCCGGCGACCCGCCCGCCGCGCCCGCGCCTACACCAGCCCGTGTCAGCCAGCCCGGACCGATCACAACCGAACTAGTCACGCTCTACCCCCGGCTAATCTATTCCATTTGTCATAAACCCAACATATTGATATTGTGTCCAGCATTTATACAGTAAATTGACATTTTCAATAGACACTAACCACGTTATATTTAGTCATTTGGTACTGTCAGCTCTTTTGTCCTATCCCCGTTCCAACCAATTTTGTGTCAAATACCAAATATTAACCTCATTTGGCTGATTGTCAACAGTAAACATAGGGCTATCGTCTCACCCACCCCTGGAACTCGAATGGTGACAACAAAATTGTTGTTTTCTAGCTATAACGATAACGACAGATATATGTATAACTGTTCATAGTTATAACATGTCAATTAAGTTCAGTAGTGTCCTTTTTTAGCAATGATATTTATATACCCAATTGATTAAGCATCATCATTTTTTCCATTTATAATGTTACTCCTATATGAATCCCAAGTTAGAGTTAATGATTATTTCCAATATGAATGATTCCTAGACATACAAAAACACTCGGTTGTGATCGGTTCCCAGTACGTAAAGCACACGATACACAATAATAATAAGAAGCAATAGGTATTACAGAATGACCCTAATTTATTATAATAGGAGCAGATATATTAAGACACTGATCATGAACAAGGAACATCGATAGTAATTTTTGCACAACTGTATAGGAATTTATAGTAAAAATTGTATTTGTGTCAAAATATCTATGCTCGGACAATACAAATGATAAATAAAGACGCGCTCTAAAAACAGTAGAATGATGACAATGATATAACCCAGTTAGAATTAAGCTAAGCTGAATCAGTATGGTGTAAGCGCTTTAAAGCGTCTTCAGCTTACTTTCCGGTCTACTAAACTAACCAGATACAGCTGAATGAAGCGCTTTATTTACCCTTGACATTAATATTTTAATTATTTCGGTAGTAGGTGATCCTTCCACTTTGCTGATAGTACTTTTTGTGTTACCATTAATAAATTAAATATAAGTCCCATTGTAAAATATTATAAAGGCGTATTTAAAGAGAGCCTAATAATGTTATAGGAAAGCAAATATTCCTTTTTTAAATATTGCTCTTATATTGCTTATTTACACAGCTTTTTTCCCTTCGATTTCAAGATCTAAAACATGTTATTTTAACCTCGAATTCACTCGACAGGAACCTACAATCATCAGTGATCATCAGCGAACCTACAATTTTCGTGTCGATATATACTCCTTTAGCAGAATTTTAACAGATTTCCTATTGTTATTAAAAAATCAGAATAGGCTTTAAAATCAAGTTATCTAGGATACATATTAGCATATTACTATAAAATGGTATGATATATAAGTATGGTGTACCTGCGTGTGCGGCGGAGTTGTTGTTGGCGGGCGGCTGGGCGCCGGCCGCGGCCGTGCGCAGCGACAGGGACGACCCCGACCGACTGCCGTCCGACTCCGGCTGCGGCATGGACATACATCATTTGTGGACGTCACACGAACATTTAGAAAGACAAAAATATAAGGCAATATTTATTGGTAGGTATGGAAATCTAAGCATTTCATTAACGGCGTTGACATACATACATAACATCACGCCTTTTATCCCCGAAGGGCAGAGGTGCACACAGCAGTAACACCCACTTATCACTATTTATGTTATCAATCCCATGTAATAGGGGGTGAGCCTATTGCCATATACCGGGTACATTTCGGGACTCTGTGCTACTACTGAGAATTTTTTAAAAACCCAGTAATTGTTTATTATAATAATAGTAATAATTAACGGCGTTGAAATATCAGAAAAATATTATCTCTTTGTAACAAAATCCTTATTCAGAATATAGATGTTGACTATAGTTACAAGAGGTCTTCAAGACGTGCTCTTTGACCCAATACTACGTGCTTGCACATCAAACCCTCAAGACGTGCTCTTTGACCCAATACTACGTGCTTGCACATCAAACCCACGGTTAACAAACACAAGATGTTTATGCATTTTGTCACAGTCAAAGCACTTATTTCAATTAATCCTTAATTAGGCACTTTTGAAACGTCAAAAATTGAATAGTCCGTCCGTCTATCTGCCAGTGAAGCTAGGCGCTCGTTCCAAAGTGTACATTTTATATTAGGTGCAGATTTTTTTACGTTTTTTTAATACAGTCAAATAATTACGGCGATGGAAAGTAAATATTTTATAAAAAGCCCTAACAGTGTCTTAACCCACTTTTCACTATTTATGTTACGAGTCCCACGTAATAGGGGGTGAGCCTTTTGCCATATACCGGGCACATTTCCAGTGATACTTTGCCCGACCCGGGAATCGAACCCGAGAGCCCTTGCCCGTCAGTCGCACTTGCAACCACTCGGCCAACGAGGCAGTGTCTTATACTAATTCAAAATATAACTTTCACTAAAACGTCATCACGTTACACAATCATAAAACTCATACACAAACAGACAGACACAAAAACGTCACAAAACGGTGTTACACACTTCAAAAAAAAAAAACTTCAACAGGTACGACCAACATAATAGTATAGGTACATTTAAACACACCATTCGATGATGTAGGCCGTAAAACAACAACACAGTGTTACCACATTAAAAAAATAACAAACAAATAATCCAAAGGGGTTGCCAACGTATACAAAAGAAATACACACCGTTCGATGATTTAAGAGGTACAATAATAACCTTCGTACTCACGTCCGTGCTCTTTCTGCCAAGAAGTAAATAAGTGGCGAAAACATCGTCGTACTTCGCTTCAGCGAGTGAATACTCGATCTCTTGTCGGTTGTAGCCCACGCACACCAGCGCCTCTGTTGGAAGGGGACGGTACTTATTAGAATTTTTCGTTTACATTATTCGTTTTTATTTACCTAAAAAATTTATTGGAGCTTAATGAATGTCTATTTCGTAAGTTATTTTGAAAAAAGGTGTTTAAAAAATTTATATTATCGTTTAAACTAGTCGCAAATATAACATCACGCCTGTTTTTCTTTTTAAATGTTAGGCAGATGTGTGTTAAAGATTAACGCAAATATAGACTCAAGTGTCAACAAATAATATCATTGTTTAAAAAATAAAGACTATATTCTAGTAAGATTTCCAAAAATTGTGGACTTTGGAGGACAAGAGACCCAAAATTAAAATATATTATAATATATTCAATTAAAAGAAATATAGAAGGTACAAATAAAATATTTAAAAAGTTAAAAATTTCTAGTTTTTTTTTTATTAGAATTAGAATTATTAACAGGAATGGACTGGTTTTATGCTTAAACATGCGACATTAAGAATATCTATATTCATATATTTACATAACTATCTAAGACACAAACATGCAATTTAATAATATCACAGAACAAGGCTACACTTTATTTTTGGAATTTTCTCTTTATATATTTTTCTGATAAATTTGTTTTTCTTTTCTATTTGTTTTTGGTTTTAAAATGTTAAATACAAACTAACACATATATCTAACATTTATTATTTTGTAAATACACACTTGACGTTTTTAAGCCAAATAAAAATATAATCTAAAAAAAGATATTTCTAGCAGACGAAAATCACGAGACACAAAGCTTGCGTGCATAGACAAATATTATACATAAATAATAATAAAATAATACTTTTGTCTTGTACGACTTGTCCACAACTTGAGTTAAAACAGACGATAACTTTGCACCATATTTTTAAATTTTAAATATATGTATTCATACTAAATAGACATTGACACAATGTCTTTTAGGTATTTGACATAAGTGAAGTTATCCCCGCTGAACAAACATACCATAGATAAAATACAACTTGCAAGATGAAATTGTAAAAAAAAAATCCCTTTAAAAGTCTTTTAAGTAATTACCACAATATCTTTAAATATTACGACAATAGCATCACAATGAAAAAGTCATACAACAAGACAAAAATATCCAGCAGATACGTAAATACGTAAAATAAGAAAAAAAAAACAACATATAAATAGTACACAGAACACATTCCCGATGCATCACGTACCAATTTGCGCTGTGCCGTTAGAACGCATGGAATAATAAAACATATAACATCTCCTTTGTATTATAACTCTCGTGGGATATATTAAATTATTTATGTCGAACTCATATAACTGTCTAAAAGATTAGCCTGCTGAGGCTAATCGAAACGGGGCGTTCCCATTGGTTGGTTTATTATAGCTGGCCAATCAGAGGCCTTAGTAGGAGTTTGATTTCAAACAATCTCATACTGAACCTTTTGATAGACTATGCGTCCCTAGTGTAGCTCGAAATTAGTCGAGATCTCTTCTCAAGTTAAGAAAGGGATGCAAATATATTTAACAGATACATGCATCCCTTTCCAACTTTCCTTGAGCAAAAATCTCCGCTTGAGTATCGTTCTGTAATATCTAATAGTCCCCAACGTGGCTTGAAACCAGTTTAATTACCTCGACCAACAGTGACGTGAGTTTGTAATACATAAATAATGTAATATCATCACATTAAAGCTTTGTTCCATCACTTTTAGTTAAGTCTCAGTTAGTCTAACTGATAGATAATTGCATGTATTGTTTTCTTCAAGTATCTGCCAGTTGAGCTAACCGAAATCTTTTGATTATATGAGGGCTAACGTTGTTTTGTTTGATAGATGGCGTTAATGTACCGTGAGATTTGTTCGATATAGAATTAGATGAGCCAAACCATTGAATGCTAAATTTTTTACTATTACAGAGACTGTACAAACAGATCTCACGCTATCTACATTACTGCCATCTGGTGGGCAAAAATAATAGTAACTCTCATTAAGCCCTCATTAAGTATATAGCTTAGGAAGAATGTTAGTAGCTCATTTTAGCTCTTGTATAGCCGACCTGTGAAAGTGCTTTAAGGTTGAGAATCGTATGTGATGTCGCTTGTATTCAGTTCAGCAATGAAATGTATGCTGCATTAATATTGATAAGCAAAAATCAGCTTTATCGTTTCACGTGTAAGCGATGTTTGCCTTCATAAAGCAGTTTTATGGTCGACTATAGAGTGTGTGAATTAAAGAACTTCACTAATTACAAAGCATTTTGTTTTATAACGATCAAAAAATTTAATATATAAGTTAAAATTAGGTCAAGCTATAAAAAGACTAAAGGCAAAATCAAGGTTATTAATAATAATTTATAAAGGTACGGACAAGAGTCCGTGGAGAAAAAGAAATCTAATATATATATAAAAAAATATTTATTTATTAATTTAAGTTTTATACAATTGCATAAAGGTGATTTAATGCTAACAGCATTCTCTGCCAGTCATTCAATATATCCAATAGACTTTGAAATTCACAAGGCACAGAACTGGTGCAGCATAAGGTCTTTAGACTGATATGCTAATTTCATTCACCCATACAATCGTACCAAAGAACTAATCAGAGGCCTTAGTACGAGTTTCATTTACTTATAAAGTAATCGCATCGAGTACGCGTTCGGCGCTCTGATTGGTTGGTTCTTTGGCGCCGGCCAATCAGAGTGCCGAACGCGTACTCGTTTCGAATACTTTAAACGTAAATCAAACTCGTACTAAGGCCTCTGATTACATGAAATTTACGTTACAACATCCAAAAACTCAACTAAAAATGAGAATTTAATATTAAATCAATACCCTTCTATTTGTCTTGTACTATACATAATACACTACTGCCTATCCTTTTAGGAAAAACAGACGTGATTATGCATATAATATACTATTTAAAATATTATTATTAAAATGCTTGTAGTAAGTAGATATCAATATTTCACACACTGTAATCATGTGCTGTAGCATGCTGTGAGCTCATTGTGTAGCTTACATAAGGTATTCAATTTCAAGCGTTAATCATTTTTGTTAACACTTTTAGTATTAATTTGTTTATTAATCAAGTGTTACAGTGTTTATAGCGGGCTTATACTAGTTTGTACTAATAAAGCTTTATAATATTGCATTTTTCATGTTAAAAGATAGATATAGGTACTGTATTTCCGTTCATCTTTTATTCATATTAGTATCGGTGGTAACAAAGCTAATCGCCATCCTGATTTGTCACAGAATATATTAATATCCTTTCTATTTTTATTGGTTTTTATTAAAAGTGAGACAAACAACCTGGCTGACACCGGTTTGAATTTAGATCATGTAAGATTTTAATGATCAAATAAGTCAAAAACTTCTGCAAATTTAGACAGTTATTATACGGTTGTATTAAGACCATAATAACAACCAATCAAGTAAAAATCTTAGTGGTCTTATCTAAAATATCAAAAACACTGATTGAAATAATATAGCTCAGAATCAAAAATACTCGTATTGCTTTTTAAAGACTTCAACTAAATATGATTTCATTGTTCTGAAACGTCCAAAATCAATGAATTGAAATTACAAACAACCAATTCTGGTTTTAAATTAATCTCTCACTTTTATATTAAACATAACTCAACTAATTTAGTTTCAATTCGAATTTTAGTACTAAAAACGTAAAATATATTCTTACCTATCCGATTATGGTCCTTAAAGTCCTGCTGGGGCTCCACGTAGGGCCGGAGCTCGTCGTCATCATAGCCGGTATTCATCCACTTATCCCTCATGATGCTCTCCAAAGAGGCTCGCTTCGCAGGGTTCAGGACTAAGAACTTCTTTAGAAGATTCTCGCAGTCCGTTGACATGTAGAAGGGTATTCTGGAAAGAGAAGAAATTGGCATTACAATATGCGTTTTGTACTGAAAGTTTTTAATTAGACATCCATTTAAGACTGCCTCGTTGGCCGAGTGGTCGCAAGTACGACTGTCGGGCAAGGGGTCTCTGGTTTGATTCTCGGGTCGGGCAAAGTATTACTAAGTTTTTTATAAATTCTCAGTAGTAGCATGGAGTCTGGAATTGTGCCCGATATATGGCAATAGACTCATCCACTATTACATGGGACTCATAACATAAACAGTGAAAAGTAAATAAATAAATAAATAAAATAAATTTATTCAATATTCAAAAAATGCCAAATACAAAACATATCGTAAATACGTACAATTGTCCTCACAATGTTAAATGTGGGTGTTACATTGTACAGTGGCGTAATGTAGACCTATGTACATTACGCCACCTGCCTACCCCTTCGGGGATAAAAGGCGTGATGTCATTTTATGTTATGTTATCCATTTAAGAATAACTTTCATTAAAAACGAATTGAACATTGCTAGCTTCAATTTCACGAGAAACTGCTTCTAAGGATACCAAATGAAGTATAGCAGTGTGGGAGAGCCATGCTTCGGCACGAATGAACCGGCTCGACCGGAGTGATAACACGGCCTCACAGAAAACTGACGTGAACCAACGCTTGCGTTGTGCTTCGTCATGCGAGTAGGTTGCCGGAGGCCCAATTACCCTTCCCTTCCCCAATCTCCCCAATTCCTGAATGTGTCCAACGATCCTCAAACTCCTAATCCCCAAAAGGCCGGTAAAGCACTTGGTAACGCCTCTGTGTTCCAGGTGTCTATAGGCGACGCCGATTGTTTACCATCAGGCAATCAGTCAGCTCGTATAAAGGCTTATGCCAAAAAAAAAGCAGAGTACTATAAAAAGAAAAAAATATGGCTCTAAGCCTTGCATTCACACGTAATGGAACAAGAAGTCATAATTGTCATATTTATTTTATTAAACAGAAGTAAAGTATGGTTTAAAGTGGTTGTGAGTGTGGTATACCTATACTTCCCGCGCAGGACCCGCTCCCGCAGCTCACGCAGCGTGGACCCGTCGAAGGGCAGGCTGCCCGACACCAGCGTGTACAGGATCACGCCCAGCGACCACACGTCCACTTCGGGACCGTCGTATTTCTTGCCTGGAACATTACACCACAGTGTGTTAAATTTTGTTTTTGGCTGAAGATTATGATTACCTTTCTAATAATAGTTAATTTATGGACTTAAGATTGATAACACTCCATAGTCATTTTCTAAAAATGCAATGTGGATTCAAGTACCTTTGTCTTTCTTGTGTGAGAAGAAGCTTTACTAAAAAGCCGGAGAACCACAGAGATCTAACTAAAATGACTCATAATGTTACTATTCTTGGTGTAGTTATAAACTAAACATTCTTACTGTATAGTTTTTTTTTGTTAAGGTCATAAACATGTAATGTAAAATTGGAATTTATATAATACATAGGTTAATCGTCGTTTCTTTGTTTTACAGGTGAGAGGATCCTTATTAATTTGTTACTACATAATTAGTGTACCTAAATACTTAAGTATTTTATATGAAATAAAATCTTTGTTTTACAGAGTAACACGTGGCTTATTATTATTATTATTTCATAAATTTCCAAAACAAACCTAACTATTACAAAGCGTTTTACAAACATGTAGACGAATCACTATATGTTAAGTAATTAGCACCGCCTAAAGTAATATAAAGACAAAATGTTGTAACAATAAAAGCACTAATCAAGTAAGGGATACCTTGGAAGAGTTCAGGCGCGGCGTATGGCGGGCTGCCGCAGAAGGTGTCGAGTTTGGCGCCCGGCGTGAACTCGTTGGAGAAACCAAAGTCCGCAATTTTTATGTTCATCTCGCCGTCCAACAGGAGATTCTCCGCCTGGAATGTTCGAAGACAACTATTGTAATATACTTACAGGATTATTTTGATTTTTCGTTGGGGATCGTGACAAGAAACCTGTGAAATCAAATGATTAGCTATAGACAAAGCTCGTCTTTAGAGTATTTTATCGATATTTTTAATTGGTGATCTGCAATAAATTACAATTGTGATGACTATATCGCTGTTCCTTAAATCAAGCCCAATATAAATTCATAGATCACATCTATAATACTGTGGTTTGCAGTGGTTTACCATGTTCAGAGAATTCCTTCATATATTTGCAAGAAACTGTATGTATCGAAGGTGTCACCTTGAGATCCCTGTGTATGATCCTCTTCTGATGGCAGTACTGTACGGCGGAGACGATCTGTCGGAACTTGGCGCGCGCCTCCTTCTCCTTCATGCGCCCGTGGAGCACGAGGTAGTCGAACACCTGGAACAGATCACAATAACATTATAACAAAGCACTAGACATATTTCCGGTGACGACAGCATACATTAATCACCTTTATTTTTTTTTGAGTGACAAGCCCATCACTACTTTTAAAAATCGATGCAACTCCTGTAAGCCCCGAAAATTCAACCATGAGAATACCAGAACACTGAATTCTCAGGGATATGAATAACTGTCTTGGGTATGGCAACGAAATATATCAGAAGATATTACTAGAGGAGAAGAAAAAAAAACAATAGTTTTCACTTCCCTCGATGAATTTAATACAGGAAACAGAATGACTTAAGCCTAAAGGTACCTCTACTCTTCCCGCTGGTATCTTAAGACCCGACTAAGAAACCAACTTTGATGCTTTGATAAACTTGAGCCCTTTTAACTGCGATCTCTAATCCGCTTGCCAAGCATTGAGATTTTCAGAAACCTTTTTCTGTAGGAAAGGCCTATATAGTCCATTTGTGGGCTTTTAGAGGCTTTTGATGATGATGATAAAATTGGACATATACCTCGCCTCCTGACGCGTACTCCATGACGAGGTACAACGTCTTCTCAGTCTCTATGACCTGGAACAGCTTCACTATGTTCGGATGGTCCAGCATCTTCATTATCCGGACCTGGAAATAAAAATAAAGGTTATTAGGATATGTAAGAACATTATTGGTGCAGTAATGAACTATAGAACTTTAGTTTGTGATTGTTTCGCATCAAATAATATTTAGCAGTCTGTCCCATAAACAGTTACTCTCAAAATAATATTCTTTATGAAAACATAAACTTATGCTTTGACTCGTTTAATCACATTCATTAATTAGTGATAGTCTTCAAGTTAGTAGATATTCGGCCAATTTCTTTCACTCCATGAGGGCTAACGGTAGCTGGAAAACATTGACTTTTTTTTATTTTTAATATGCGATGGGTCGACATTTAACCACAATCCCGCCTGGTGGTAATCGATTAAGCGGTTTACGATGGAGTACGTTTACCCATAAGCAACTTATTTACTCAGGCCTTGAAAACACCCAGGTATACCCTTCAGGAAACACAGACTCTGACAAACAATTCCACTGCTTAGCAGTTCGCACAAGGAAGCCTTTATGGAACAGGAGGCAAACGAGCAGACGTATCACCTGATGGTAAGCGATCAGCGCCGCCCATGGACACCCGCAACACCAGAGGAGTCACAGGTGCGTTGCGGCATTTTAAAAAGGAATACGCTCTTTGCCTGATTGACTATTACTGGTTTGATACTAGGAAATTATCTATTGGACAAACAGAATCTCGCACTACACTCATACCATCGGTTGGTACATTCTCAAAATATGTCAGTCTATCTGTCTGTATAAACTCAACAATTAAAAAAGTTTAAAATGCGTTACCTCTCTGAACAGCTTCTGCAGTGATCCAGGATTGAGTTGTGTCTTATCAATGATCTTGATGGCGACCTCCTTGCCGGTCGGCACATGTTTCGCTAGCTTCACCTTAGCGAAGTTGCCTTTACCGATTGTCTTTAATAGCTTGTACTTTCCTGGAAACAAAAGAAAATTATACATAATTAATCTATCTTCTATACATATACCTAATAAAATCGTGGAAACGTCAAAACTGTACATTTAATTTTTTTTTTTTAAATAATACTTGGGGGATGATCTATAGTCGACACTGAAGCCAAAAATGTGGATTTTAGAATTTTTGTCTGTTTGTCTGTATGTATGTCCGGGATGATCTCAAAAAGTACTGCATGGATTTACTTCAAATACTGTATGATTATTACTAACAGGTCGGGTCAACATTCAGGCTAGTTAATATCACGCTATCACCTACGGAGTAAGCGCAGTAAATCACTATTCTACGCGAACGAGGTCGCGGGCACAGCTAGTATATTTAGACCTCTTGCCCGGCAGTCGCACAAGTGCTGGTTCGATTCGGCGGTCGGACAAAGTATTACTGGGTTTAAAAAAAAATCTCAGTAGTAGCACGGAGTCTGGAAATGTGCCCGGTATATGGCAATAGGCTCACCCCCTATTACATTCTCTTAACATAAGTAGTGAAAAGTGGGTGTTACTTCTGTGTGCACATTTGCCTACCCCTTCGGGGATAAAAGGCGTGATGATGTTATGAAAACTAATTTTGACTAAACAGCAGCAACTTCGTTACAAGTTGAAGGGCTAACTAAAGTTCGAGGCTTATAGATATTATTTTCCTTCAGTTTCACAAGTACCCCGTACTCCAACTTCACAACGAAAGTTACTATTTTCTAGAAAGTTCTAGAGCTTTCTAAGTTAGCTGGTTTCATATTCTTCTAGGTTTTATGTTTGCAAGTTGAAGTTATTAAGTTTCTCGAAGGCTTTAGAAGAAGCTTTTTAACTTAACAAAGTTGTTAAACAAGTGTTGTGTTGCGACAATTTAATATGGACCATATAAGAATGGAGAAAGGTTAGTTTCAGGGAGACAGTTTTATTGATATTGTTAATATTATTTCTATTCTTTACATATCGACCATAATATTTATTTGCACAAAAAAATCATGTAGTGTAGTACTATTTTGTATCCTTTTTGAAACAAATAAATATTTTTTCATGCTTAACGCATTGTATCGCGCAAAGTTATTCACGAACATGAGTGTTGCTTGAAACCAGTTGAGGTAAGTCAAGCCTTTAAACATATTTAACTTGTGTCTTTGTCTTTTAATAGTTCTTATTATGTTGACTGAATAGATTGATGGACTACTGACCAATGTGTGGTTCCTCTGAAGCCCGCGAGCGCGACGAGACCCGGGCGCTGCCGCCCGATGTGCCCCCGCCGCCCGCTCCCGCCGACGACTCCGACGCACTCTGCAAAAACCAAACAATTACATATTAATATCAAGTAAAGACATAAGAGAGAAACATCAAAGGAAAGCTTCAAAGTTTTTGTGAACGTTCACTCTTTTATTGCTTATCTCTATAACGATCCATAGCACGCAATCTGTTACAATCAAAATATAGGACCTTTATGTCATTAAGTGTAAAACAAATGGATTTGAAATGTGGTCTGTATCTGGTTTATAAATTACCTTGTTAATACCTCTAGATAACATCAAAGTCTAGGTTAAATCGTATTTCTTTACTTTTAAAGTGTTGGCAAAAAAACTTACGAATTCAAACCAATAACTCCGTTCTAAAAATCGCGATAATTATCAACGACAATCAGATCCCTTACAAACTTTATCACCTGCGTATTCCCCTACCTTGAAAAGATAATAATGCATCAAAAGATAAAGGAATTCCCAGCTACCGTGGATACCATGGACGGGTAGCCACGGTGCCGGTGCGAGGGGTGAATGACCGCGCCGACTAGGGCTCCACACGAATGACGGAGTAACATAGGTACTGGGAAATAGGAGCCGTTCGCATTATGAGGAATGTGCAATTGTTTTACTTCGCTTTTTTTGTGCGACCAGAGTCGTATTGTAATTGACGTTTGGTACTAATTTTTAGTAGTTAAGGACGGAGGATTTATTATTCTACCACTCCCTATTCCCACGATATTCAGACGAATTTGAATGATCCTTAAATTGTGTGTGTGTGTGTGTGTGTGTGTGTAAAAATTGTATTTGTATGTACATGAACGACACTGGGGAACAGTGTGGAAAAAGAAAAATCCCTATAATATGCTTAAAAGAGAATGACTGTTTTCATACCAACCATAAAATACTTAATATTATTTCAAATTGGTAATTTATCATAAAAACATCGTGGTTTTACTGCCTCAAATCACATGAACTTGAAATAAATAAGATCTATAAATAAAATGCTCTACTATTCCAATTCGTAATAAGGGCATAACCATTCTTTGTGTAGCCCCAATTTATCACCAATGTGTACACATAAAATGGGTTATATTGGAAATAAAAGCAAACCTTATTGTTTAGACAATAAAGTCAACATTTAATTATGTATCAAGGTCAGTTTATTAGCATAGTCGACTTGGGATCAGCATAATTACGTTGTGTTTGTCTCATTCTGAAGAATTCCAACTCTCGAGTCCAGTCTAATCAAGTTACGTTAGCAGGTCTACCAGACCCGTGCGTATGGCGCGTCGGGCATCAGCCCTACTAGGTCCCATCTGTCACTGTAGGACCTAGTAGGGCTGATGCCTGATACGAAGCCGCGGTAGGCCTAACGAGTTGCCGAGGCTCCGGCTCGCAGAGCAGGAATAGGAACATGATGGTTTAGTCATTAAGAGTCTGACACTCTCTATCGTCTCACCCGGGCGGAAGAAGTCATTGGATGATTTTCCCCCCTTAAAAAAAGCCTAATCAATTTACTTTGGTAGGTCTACCACAATTTGACTTGGGCTTCTCGGGAAGATTGTGATTGATTGGCAGATTCTGGATATGGATGTATGAGAATAGTCATGCCTCTATCAAAATAATATGGCAAAAAGTGTGTAACAGATATTCGATAGAAGGCATGATTGTGAACATAGAGTTTTTAATAATTTATTAAGCATCCTTAGATAATGTTACAGTTTTATTATAAAATTAAATATTTTATGTAACACTCACTTTAAACTGTCAAACACCAAGCGGTCACCGGTGACCGCAACCTATTGTTCTATAATTGTGTCTACAAAACCGGTACTCGACGAGTTAATATAACTTTCTAAAGTCAACGCTACATAATTATTATAAATTGTAACGCTCTTAGTGCTTAGTTGTTTACTTAAAGGTAACTTTAGAAGGTAAAAGCATGTTACTCGTATCCCAAGGGAGCATAAGTACTTGGTTTAAGTTAGTCTTAATGTTACAAGACTAGGTAAGCTATTTTAGCTTAGAATGATAATGACTAGAAGTAATAATGATTCATTTTAACCGAATAACATTAATAGCAAACTAATTAGCATTTACCGAACGGCTTTAAACACACATTTCTTAGAAATATGAAAGAAAAAGTAATTGCAGTTCAAAATCATTTGCAGGCCAGGAAAACAAAAGGTTTACATAAGTTTACTAGATACCTCCATAAAATGTACCCGCCGCCTTCAGGAATACCTACAAGGATTGCCTACAAATACGCTAAATATGGTTTACAAGCTACTTCCGCGCGGTTTTACTCGCTCTGCTCGGCCCCTATTAATCGTAACGTGATATTTTATAGCCTATAGCTTTCCTCGATAAATAGGCCATCAAACAAAGAAATAATTTTTGAAATCGGACCAGTAGTTTCGGAGATTAGCGCGTTCAAACAAACAAACAAAAAAATAAAACTCTTCAGCTTTATAATATTAGTATAGATTATTCAAAATAAATTCTTAATCAATAAAATCAGTGAACTGTAACACATGACTTATGAACAAACCACTCTATTAAAGGTACCCTTACATCATGTACCCTAATACCCAGTTACCTACAATCAGTAACTACAATCCATTTATCATTGCCTATATTAAATTATCCGCTGCTAAAATATAGCTCTGGCCCGAATAAGGACGAACGTGAGTCGAGTGCTTAAAGACCTATCTTCGGCATAGTTAAATCTATTTAGTTTTGTAACGTTTAATATTTTATCAAAGAGGTCATCTTTGATAAAATATTAAATAGATTTTGAATGTAGATGAGTTTTTCAGTGCCCATTATTGATAGAAGTCTGGTATATATGTTTTAAAAGAGTAACGATGGAGTTTCTTGCTCTTTCTTCTCCATTCGAAACTACACTTTGGAAAGCCTAGACTTCACTGACAGACAGACGGACGGACAATTCAATTTATGATATTTCTAGTGTGCCTAATTACGGATTCTTTGAAATAAATGCTTTGACTTTAGACATTAAAATTTTTTATTAGCAGAATTTACTAGGTGTTTAATTAAACGAACTTTTAAACATTACTTAAGAGATAGGCACTGGTGCAGATATTACTTATAGCACTCATTCTTCATAACTAACGCTTAGACCCCACGTCAGTCACCCGTGCCTGGTATGACGCTAGTGAACCTTCGACTTTCATTCAAATCTGGCAGTTAAAGTGTAACGACTCCTTCGTAAAACATTCGCACCTGCTGCTACAAGGATGTTCTCCTGTGTCGTGGTCGTGGGTGCGTTTACAAACATTACAATTTCACATACACGTCACCCTCAGACCTAAAACAACAATTTGTGGAATCACACAAAGAAGCTGGTCTGCCATTGACCCAACTGTGCAGTCATCAGTCAGTAAATAAATAACAAGGATCATACCAAACAGTCAAAAACATTTCATTGAAGTATCAGTCACGTTAAAGATAACATGTTAACAGAGAATTCAATTACACTGTACTTAACTTATCAAATATCTACGAACAATTAAAACGAACATAGTAGTTAAACTATGACAGTTATCTACGGTAACATAACTCAGTTAACTATGTACATAAATCTCTACTAGCTTGCCAAATTTAACTTGGAAATTCGACATGGTATGATGGCAGTATAGAGAGTATTTGGGTCAGCGGTTTATAAGATTAAGCTGAACTTGGAACAAGAACGGACCACTTTGGGCTCTTGGGAGATACGTAGTATTGAGCGAACAGGACATGTATAGTATATCGAATAGTTAGACGTTACCTTGCGGAAATCTATGCAACACTAACAATTGGGAAAATATTTCGATCTTATTCCGCTGAAGGAACAAATTTGCAGCATACAGTATGCAGCTCCGCTCTTCCTACCCGTAGATAAACGCTCATGCAGCAGAGATGCAACACAAAACACACACACGACACGCAACGAACCACACTCGACGGTGGCTCCCGCGGAAGCTCCATGGAAGAGCAAAATAAATATCGAGTGAGGAAATTGTAATATTAGAAACGGAGCAGTCTTAGACATAGCAAATTTTAGTCAATTGATTTGGTGTAATCATTTATATGATAACTGTAAGCTCGATGCTCGCTAGTCGTGAGATATATTCCAAACAGAACAGAACTACAGATGCTAAAAGTAACTATTCCTATCATTGACTGAAATCTACACTAATATCTGAACATGAGATACACAGAAACCGAAATATCCCTTTAAAAAGTCATGTAAATTAAAAAATACCTTTGAAAGACCTGGTATAGAACATGTGCTTTGCTAAAACAGGACAGGTCACGAATATGTCTTTTATTTTCTTCACGCAAGCATCACTTTGTTAGACCCCGCTGTTTGCCAGAGGCATCTCGTTACGGGAAACTCGGCCAGGTTAAAAAATACCCAGTACTTTCAGTCTTTTGTTCCATCCACCTTCATTTGCATAGTGATTTAGAAAAGATTTTAACTGCTTTTAATCTTCTGTCGAGTTTTTTGAATAATGCGAGGGTGAATTAGATTTTAGATGGAGATTATATAGGTGTTGTGACTACTAAAAAATACTAGAGCTTCAAATTATACTTAGTATCATCATATTCATCATGCCCGTTTTATCCCCGAATGAGTTACGTAGGATCTACAATATGTCATAATTAAGATCTCGGTTGTTTTCCTTATTCTTTTCAAAAACCAGGGTCATGGTTTCACAACTGTATGTACTATATCAACAAAACTCCCATCATGTATGGTATTATACTGTCAAACACCGCGAGGACACCGGTGTCCGCACACTATTGTTCTTTAATAGTGTCTATAATGACGGTACTCAAAGCGTTAAACAACAACTACTCAATTTACATTGAAACAAAACGTAAGAATAATGAAAAGAAAGGTATATTTCAAGACATTCCTCAGTATCGAGGTTCACAATTAGTCGTGGCGAAAGCGATGTAAATTCACTATAAACGCCTGTTACAATTACCAGTCTATCTTTTATAGCCACTTTCAAAAATGACGAACAGGTC